GCTGCCAGGTCATGTTTCAATACAAACGCTGAGGTTAAGGACCGGTAATTTTCAACTGGTAATTTTACGCAATTATATGGTTTAACACACGTTAAACTTTTCTTTATGATTATAGATATATTTTCCAAAAATATTTGCTGAATTTGTTCAATTCCAACGGCGTTTCAATGGAAACCTCAGCATTTGTATCGAACAAGGCCTATTTGTAACTACGAAATGATCCATTTCTGTGTAGCAGTGGGACTTAAAACTTATCTGGGTCCATCCTCCTGAGAGGCATTTTTTATTTATTTATTTTTTTGTTTGTTTCAACTTCTAGGTTTGTGTCAGTTGTCCATGATTTTTTTTAACAATCAAACAAATGTTAAAGATTTTCAGAATTTTAAACAAATGTTCCAGTCCATCAGATAAACACAAGTTTTATCTTGTATCATGTTATATCTTGACAACATTTTAAGCTTCATTATTTTTTTTATTTTATAGTGGATTTGGCAGTGAGGAATATCCTGGTAAAACATCTATCAGACATGGTCAGATCAATTAAAAAAAGTTGTCTTGTGGTTGGATTGTTTCTTTTTAGAACATCAAAAACTAAACTCCATCATTATCTGTGCAGAGATGCCATGTTGATGAAAATGTTCTGTTTAGATTATTGTGCTTTTTTTTGTTTTTGTGTTTTGTGCTTGTTCATCATCTCAGGCTCTTTAAAACAACCTTGCTATAAATAGAATTTCCAGGGGAATGTGTACATACAATCCTGCGTACAAAAGTTACATAAATAGGATCGAATCTACAAATGATTAATAGCGAACGAGCAGGAAAACTGAACTGGAAGACCGACAGAGACTCGGCTAAAACGTGCATAGCAGAACAACAGGGATGTGTCCGCACCACATCTTAATAAGGCATTTGCACATTCAAGTTCAGTCTACGACACAAAGAGTGTAAAGCACTATAGTAATAAATATCCTTCTATTATTGCTAGTGATTTGAAAAGCAGTGTTTATGTCAACACAAATATCTACAGTTCTGACCATGATTTTAAACTTCCCTAGATTCTTTGGAATCAGTTAAAAAAAGCTACTTTCTACTCAAAAGATAAATGCATATCTTAAAATATAAACCCATCTAGTTTTGTAACTTATCATCAGCAAAGTTTTGATTAAAGCAAATGCTTTAAATCAGTCTTTGTGATTTAGGTTGAGAATTTGAAATATATATATATATATATATA